TAGCCATCCGATTGCGCCGATCTGCGAATCGTACTTGCAGACTTTGGAAATTCGTCACCGGTCTATCCCTCGACTTTTTTAAACGTTTTATACATCAGAAAATTCGTCCAAGAATGCTCTAAAGAATAGGCTAAAAAAGTCTGGATTTTTTAGACCGTCCGATTTTTGCCGATCCCTGGAGTGCACGATGGACACACCGGAGTGCCAGATTTTGACCGAATTTTCGAATGCGGATTTTTTTACATATTTACGTTCTTTAGGCTTTAGGCATCTCGTGTGTAAAAAATCTAAAAAATCGGACACCGGGAACTGCGTTTTTTAGCCATCCGATTGCGCCGATCTGCGAATCGTACTTGCAGACTTTGGAAATTCGTCACCGGTCTATCCCTCGACTTTTTTAAACGTTTTATACATCAGAAAATTCGTCCAAGAATGCTCTAAAGAATAGGCTAAAAAAGTCTGGATTTTTTAGACCGTCCGATTTTTGCCGATCCCTGGAGTGCACGATGGACACACCGGAGTGCCAGATTTTGACCGAATTTTCGAATGCGGATTTTTCTACATATTTACGTTCTTTAGGCTTTAGGCATCTCGTGTGTAAAAAATCTAAAAAATCGGACACCGGGAACTGCGTTTTTTAGCCATCCGATTGCGCCGATCTGCGAATCGTACTTGCAGACTTTGGAAATTCGTCACCGGTCTATCCCTCGACTTTTTTAAACGTTTTATACATCAGAAAATTCGTCCAAGAATGCTCTAGAGAATAGGCTAAAAAAGTCTGGATTTTTTAGACCGTCCGATTTTTGCCGATCCCTGGAGTGCACGATGGACACACCGGAGTGCCAGATATTGACCGAATTTTTGAATGCGGATTTTTCTACATATTTACGTTCTTTAGGCTTTAGGCATCTCGTGTGTAAAAAATCTAAAAAATCGGACACCGGGAACTGCGTTTTTTAGCCATCCGATTGCGCCGATCTGCGAATCGTACTTGCAGACTTTGGAAATTCGTCACCGGTCTATCCCTCGACTTTTTTAAACGTTTTATACATCAGAAAATTCGTCCAAGAATGCTCTAGAGAATAGGCTAAAAAAGTCTGGATTTTTTAGACCGTCCGATTTTTGCCGATCCCTGGAGTGCACGATGGACACACCGGAGTGCCAGATTTTGACCGAATTTTCGAATGCGGATTTTTCTACATATTTACGTTCTTTAGGCTTTAGGCATCTCGTGTGTAAAAAATCTAAAAAATCGGACACCGGGAACTGCGTTTTTTAGCCATCCGATTGCGCCGATCTGCGAATCGTACTTGCAGACTTTGGAAATTCGTCACCGGTCTATCCCTCGACTTTTTTAAACGTTTTATACATCAGAAAATTCGTCCAAGAATGCTCTAAAGAATAGGCTAAAAAAGTCTGGATTTTTTAGACCGTCCGATTTTTGCCGATCCCTGGAGTGCACGATGGACACACCGGAGTGCCAGATTTTGACCGAATTTTCGAATGCGGATTTTTTTACATATTTACGTTCTTTAGGCTTTAGGCATCTCGTGTGTAAAAAATCTAAAAAATCGGACACCGGGAACTGCGTTTTTTAGCCATCCGATTGCGCCGATCTGCGAATCGTACTTGCAGACTTTGGAAATTCGTCACCGGTCTATCCCTCGACTTTTTTAAACGTTTTATACATCAGAAAATTCGTCCAAGAATGCTCTAAAGAATAGGCTAAAAAAGTCTGGATTTTTTAGACCGTCCGATTTTTGCCGATCCCTGGAGTGCACGATGGACACACCGGAGTGCCAGATTTTGACCGAATTTTCGAATGCGGATTTTTTTACATATTTACGTTCTTTAGGCTTTAGGCATCTCGTGTGTAAAAAATCTAAAAAATCGGACACCGGGAACTGCGTTTTTTAGCCATCCGATTGCGCCGATCTGCGAATCGTACTTGCAGACTTTGGAAATTCGTCACCGGTCTATCCCTCGACTTTTTTAAACGTTTTATACATCAGAAAATTCGTCCAAGAATGCTCTAAAGAATAGGCTAAAAAAGTCTGGATTTTTTAGACCGTCCGATTTTTGCCGATCCCTGGAGTGCACGATGGACACACCGGAGTGCCAGATTTTGACCGAATTTTCGAATGCGGATTTTTCTACATATTTACGTTCTTTAGGCTTTAGGCATCTCGTGTGTAAAAAATCTAAAAAATCGGACACCGGGAACTGCGTTTTTTAGCCATCCGATTGCGCCGATCTGCGAATCGTACTTGCAGACTTTGGAAATTCGTCACCGGTCTATCCCTGGACATTTTTAAACGTTTTATACATCAAGGAAGGTGTTCTAAAGAATAGGCTGAAAGCAATCTAGATTTTTTAAACTGCATTAATTTTTCAGTGGAAAATAACGCAAAGAAGCGTCGAATATGAAAAAATTGTCTGGTGCATTAGTGAAAACGGTTACTTACAGAATCACATAAGTTTCTCTGTAAAATAAGTAAAGTATGAAAAAGAATAATGTCTGCTTTTTTCTCCATCCTGTTAAGTACTATGACTAAGGTCAGAGTTACCCCTTCATAATGATATATCTCTGTACGGTGTTTTTATGTTAAATGTGTTCCTAATCACCTTTAACATAATACTACATAAATTAAAGGATAATATCTGAGGATAATATGTTTCCTTAAAAGTAAACTTGATATGCCTGTAATAGAGCTCATTAATACAGCCCTAATACCTTCAGTAAGATAGACAAGGATAGAAAATCGAGCGACAGTCGACCAGCGCCATATATTATTTTCGATTCGAAAATCTGATTCTGTGATAGAAACACATAATATACGTGGAGCTCTTTGAAACAACCACCTGGCGCCATCTGTGTTCAAGTCACTGAACTCGAGGTTCAGGTATAATTTCATAGATGGCACTGATGTGATATTTTAATAAATTGATTCGGCAGTGGAAAATTCACTAATCACTCAATATTTGTGATTAATTCATTAACTTTTATAATTGCATCGTGGAGGCAGATCCTTCAAGAACTTTGCAATATATTTTTCGATTTAAATTTCTCCCTAATTAATTAATTATTAATGATTATTCTATGCAGTGTTTGAATTGTTGTCGAAGACGCCATTGGTTTTTCATTAATTACTATCCTTTACGCAATTAATTTATGAAACTTTATGCACTCATTAGAAAGACAATGTTCTTGCGAATCTTGTCATATAACTTTTGATCTCATTTTGCTTCTAGTTTCGTTTAGTATTAAATTTTTTCACGGAAGATCGTGATGGACGTCGTTACGAAATCATGGACGCCATTAAACAATAATTTATAACTAACTAATTCATAACAAATTATGTACAAGAATTATATAGGAATGTTGTCTGAAGTTCCAGCTTCGCAATGAAGTTATAAAAGTTCATAAATTAATTACATAAATTGAGTGATTTATTAATTTTTCTCTGCCGGAGCCATTCTATCCTTTTCTAACCGATCTCTGTCCTTGTTCATCACGCGATGGGTTCTTCGACGATCTCCTCGCTCATCTGTGATCCTGTTACCAAACTCGAGCTTCGAGTCCAAAATTATAAATAGCACTGATGTCAATTTACTAACTCTGTTTATGTGCCCTTAATATATTCGAATAAATTAATTCGGCACTAGAAAATTAATTAATTACTCAATTTCTGTGAATAATTTATGAACTTTTATGATCGCATCGTAAAGACAGATCCTTGGCCAACTTTCTAATATAATTTTGAATATAAATTTGTCTCTAATAAATTAATTATTATTGATTATTGTACATAATGTAAGAATTCTTGCCATACATACCAATAATTTTTCATTAATTACTATTTTTTGAGTAATAAATTTATGACTTTCATGCACGCATTATAAAAACGATATCCTAGGGCATGTTCACATATTATTTTTGTTCATATTTTGTTTCTACTTTCGTTTAGTATTAATTATTTTCACGGAAGATCGTGATCGTAACATTGTCGTTACGAAATCATGGACGCCATCAAACAATAATTAATAACTAACAAATTAGCGGTAAATTCTTTACGAAAATTATATAAGAATGTTACCTAAAGTTCTAGCTTTGGAATGCAATTATAAAAGCTCATAAATTAATCCCAGAAATTGGATGATTTATTAATTTTTCACTGCTGCCCGTCGAGCCTTTCTATTCTTTTCTATTCAAGACTTTCTAATATAATTTTTGAAATTAATTTATTATTATTTAATTGATTCTTTAGAATTATTGCATGGGGTGTTCGAAATGTTACCCATGATCCTAATGGCTTTTCAATATAAACCTGAAATGAAACGAATTAGTAAGAGATTAGTAAAACACAATTAAAACGAAACAAATATAAACCACAAAGTAAACAAATAAAGCGAACAACCCAACGATGAGATATAAACATCCTAACAATGAGACATTCGTATATTATACGAAATATTCGAATTCTGAAATAAAAATGAATAGAAATAAATAAATAAATTAATAAATTTATTAATAATAAATTTGATAATTCATACATGTTTTATAAACTAAAACTACATTCTATGACAAACTTCTATGATACGTACTTACATATATGTCAAAATATTTTTATTCCCTCTATAACCTATATACTAAAACAATGCATTATGCAGAAGGTAAAAATGCTGGATTCATTTTGATATTAATAGTTAAGTGTGAGTTTATTTTTTAACGACTCTATATTAAGAAGTCGTTCGTATTTATGTTTCGAATAACGTTTTTTCAAAGAACAAGTGATTCGGAGAAATTTATTACAATTTCGCGATTAGCAGAAAAAGGTACATCTACTGATATCAATCTTACTGGTTACTAAATATATTTTTAGGAAATACTATAACAAGTAAGTACTATACAACTAAATATACCTTTTGTTTTCATCCTAATTACTGATATCATCATGCTATTTACGATTCAAATTAAAGTTAGGATTGAAATTCAGGTACTAAGTCACTTTCAAATGAAACGCAATGCCTCGTCGTAACCAGTTATCGTGTTCATCTCTAGGGCAGCCAACCGGAAGTGAGCAAATCAATACATCTCTTTGCGAGGTCGCATAAACGGGAATGTTAAGAATATCTTTCGAATCATTGCCTCCTAGACAGTCTTTGGTTGTTTTATCCAATACCATATCCTCTGTGTAATCTTCGGGCAAATATGCAATCTGGCAACTCGGTGCAGTTACGACAGAAGCAGCATTTGCATCTAGATCCGTCAGAATACCACCCTCTATCAAGGCTCCTGAATACAGAATATTTCATATTTAATAAATGAAAGTAATACAAAAAATCTTAGTATTAGTACTGATTATAGCATTATATGAATAATACAAGTAGTTCTACTACTAATAAATAAAAATACCGGATATCAAAAGCCCTTCGATGATCAATGATATTTTCCAATCGTTATTTCTGCGATTTTCGAACCAATTTACACAAAGCCGAAGATTCTCCATAGGTTGATGTGTTTCTCTTGCGGTGTGTTGTTTGAGAACAGTTAAGAATGCTCGTGGTCTTGCCAGTCGTGACATATCAACAACAGTCGAAGAAATGGATAAGATGGACTCCAAAGTTTGGTACCTGGATAACAAACCTTTAACGAAAGGCAAAACTTCCTTCGGTCCATGCTTCCAATTTTCCACCCAATGTGCGGGAATCTGAATTCATCGAATAGGTTTTTTAGATATTTGATACCAATTATTATCATATTTATATCGGTAAAATTATTAGCAATAAAAATTTGATATAAAAATTTTATAAAATTCGTTTCCACCTTATTATTTTCGAGGCGTAATGCTTCTACGTCAATGCGAATAAGATTCAATGTCTTCTTTGTTAAATTCATTTCATCGATAAAGAAACTTTCCAATGGATTCTTATTTCCGCTTTGTTCCACAGTTGCTGACGACGTGAACATCAAACTATGACGGTCGATCAATTCTTTTAAGTCCCTCTGAATCTTCGTTTCCGTTTTCTTCCTACTCTTGTCGTTGTTATCGGATACTCTGATCAGAACACCTATCGACAATAATTAATAATAATAATTAATTGTTATTTACATTGACTAGATACACTCAGTGTATTTATTAATTAAAAATTATAACTGTTCCATGAAATATTTATTTTTTAATTACTGCATTCAGTACAAACCTTTCAAGTGCGACAACACTGCCTCAGCAGCTGTCCTTTCCCAAGCCCTATGTGCATTCGCAGGTAGTCCAAAGTACTCTTTAGGCAAGTCGTTATCCGGGACACGTTCCAAAGACTGAGTCGTGTCCTCGAATGAGCCCTCGACCACTCTCAAAACGTTAGCCAATTTCCTGCGACCTTCGAACACCTCTGCGGACCAAATATCGCGAACGATCGAGCACAACGCCCTCATATCATAGTCATCCTGAAGACGACCCCCGTAAATAGCCACGTCTAGCAAACCTCTGCCAGTCTGCCAGTTCCCATCCTTATCTTTGCTTCTTTTAGATGTCATTTCCTTTACCACTAACTCATAAGCGGCTTCAAGATCCGATTCATTCCACTCGTACGACCTAATCCAGCCTTGAGGAACGAACTTCCGGCGTTCCTGAAGCGTAGCGTGCAGCCAGGACAACAAAAGGCTACCAGGTATGTTTATGGCGTTCTGGTGCTTTTGATGGAGCTGCTGCAGGGATCGTTTCACGTTCCTCTTCACGCCCTCAGGTGGTTCGTAAGCAAGCTTTAAGCAGAGACCAGCGAGACTGGGGTAGAGCCCCAAGCATTCTTCAGTGGTCAACCAGATTCTTGTGACGGGATTCTTGTTGTTTGTGCACATGGGCGATCGAAGAAGGCTTTCCAGTCGGGGCAGCCAATTGAGAGCAAGATGCAAATTACTCAGGAGAATCCAGTTTCCGTTCCTATTTGATAAACACATTTAATTAATTTTCTTTATTCTTTCTTTGGAATTGTTTAAACATGATTAAGTTTAATATTGTAACGTATACAATTTAATGATTGGATTGGAAAGATGAACAGAATTGGTAGAATGTAATAATAAAATAAAATTTATAGTATATCTAGTTTGCATGAAAATTCTACACGTATCTAGTTTGTTAATTATTCCTTATCTGAGTAATTAGAATTGGAGGTAGAAAATATATTATATGTTAATTTATATTATCCTGTGTCATACATATAATTACGTAACGTTCTCATCTTTTACCTAGCATCAAAAGAAAAATAAAAGTAACACAAAATAAAAGAAGAAATTGAACGTAGAGGAAAAACTAATTAATAATTTGAAGGTTGATAATTTTACGTTAGTTCATACTTATACCTATTCTGTGCACATAGTAGATACCAAAGTACGTGATGAAAGTACTCAAACAAAGATCATAGCTGATTTAGTACGCGGTCGGGAAGACTGTGGCTTGAAGCCAAAACCTTGCACTTTTGCTGCAGTATGGCAGGTCGGTAAAGATAATGAGACCACCATCGTACGTTTACACAAGAACTCCTTATACTATATCAGGACCCAAAGGCATTGTTCAGCATTTGTTGGCGGAAATTGAACCCAGAGGTTGTAAACCGACTAGGATCGCTGGAGTATCACAACGCGGATTTATTATGCATTAAACGTGAATTACAAAGGAAAACTAAGGTGTTGGATGTAAAGATAAACATTAGAAATATGATAGTTTCAATTCAGAAATTGACAAATTGACAAATTTGATCAAATATTTAAAAAGATATTTAAATATTATTAAATATCTATCTTAAATCTCTTATTTAATAAATTAGGTATGGCAACAAATATTTTATAAAAAAATATGTTCAAACAATAGAATATTAAATGGGCATAAAATTAAATCTGGTAGTCGTTTTTTTATCTCAGCTGGAGGTTTCATAGAGTCTGAAATTAGATTTTCTTGTGGATGAGAATGATACAATACCGACAAGCATTCTCCAGCGCTAGTTCAGCCTGAGCAACTTGACCCTGGCCGAGAGATACTTCGACGAATCCTGTGGCCGACGCAACCTGATTATTCGCTAACGCTCTGAGTTCTGAACCAGGATCAGCTCCTGGTGACAAAAGTAGTAGGACAGGATAGGTAGATTCGTGTTCGGCTATTTTCCTTAGGGACAAATGCGGTGGGGCTAACTCTTTTACACCTTAAAAAAAAAAATCATATTAAAAATTATTTATAGACATTTTAAAACTTTAAATTTTATGTGTAACTGATTTTTATATTTGATATTTCATTAATATTTAAAAATATTTTATTAATATATTAAATTTTATATTAAATATACCATAAATATTATATTAATATAGGATATTAATTACAAGTTTTAGTATAACTTTGTTATAATGTTTTACAACTATTCGATGAAAGGATTAACCAGAGAAATGGTATTAAATTTGAATTACCTAACACTTCTGCAGCAAATTTCGAAAGCGCTGTATGCAAATAGTCTGGACGCAGGGTTTTTATGAGTAAAACTTTTTGAAATGTGGTTAAATTGCTTTCAGCATAAATATTGCTGACATCGTTCAACCAGGATGGTTTCATTTTTGCACCTATCTAAACGAGGAAGGAAAACGTTTCTAAGAAGTAAAGAGTTACGGTTTAAAATAGAATTTATTTTTAAGTTACTTGTGGGAACGATGAAACTAGACTTCGAACCGGCAGATGACGTTCTTCAGGTACCCAATCAGGTACTCTGTAATCAGAATCTTCGTCATCACTTAATGGAGTTTCGCCTAGCAAGAAATTTCTTTCAACGTCTGGCACGGAATTTAATGAAAGTGCCAACTGTAATGCAACTGGCAATCGATGTCTTCTATACACTGCTTTGGAGCAGTAGTGAAGTGTCAAACCTATTAGTCTGCAAGAAAAATTCGTGTTCTTAAATGTTCTAATTCAAAATTTTAATTTATAATTTTAATTTCGAAAATTTGTAAAGTCAAGAATCTTAAACTTTTTACTTTATCAACACAATAATAAAATATCCATTTTTATACATTATTCTTTGTAGTAATGTACATAAGCATAAATTTAAATAAAATAAATAGATAAATTTAAAGAAGAGATTTACTAACCGCTTTTCGACCAATTTGTCTTGTTCTCTTTTATCTTGAGATAGTATTGATCTTCTATAATCTTCAGCCTCCAAATAAATATCAGTGAAAGCTTCAGAAGAAAATACGTACAGAGGACTCAAAGCAGTCAGGCTTCGCACAGTTTTGTATAAGCTTGCGGCAAACTTGGCCAGTTTCTCATGTTCTTTGGCTCTCCTATAACAATGTAAACGAGAATTAAGACAATTAAAACTTTATTCTGCAAAGGAAAATTATTCTTAGCAGAAGATGTTGAGACGTGCGTATTAGTTCTAAATCAGATAACTTTGACGAAAATTAAGGTTTTATAGTGTTTCATATTTTTCTACTAACTTCTATCTATATCTACTCCTTATCTTCTACAACGTTCAGAAACGACATAGTTTTAGTTTCTAATTTTATTTTCAATATACATCTCAGACAATCTCCTGCATCTCATATATTAATTTCATCAGAATTAATATTTAACTTCTTTAGAGTTAACTCGAAGTAGAGTATAATCAAATATCCTGATAAGAGAGCAAAGCTAAACCACGATTTTCAGACCATCTTTCATTCGGCATAACGTGTTAATTGAATTAATGAAGTTTGTTGGTTTCATCGTGGTAAATCCTGTACATTCTACATTTTTTAATAAATTTCCAGTGACCTGGTAACGTCTTCAAAACTTCGCCGACTTTCCTCAAGAGCTAAGGCTATTTCTTTGGCCTTCGATTGAGTGGCTTCCAAAGACGACAAAAGCCCACCCTGTGATCCTTCAGACTCCTGAAGGAGGTCCTGACCCCTTGCAGTGGCCAACTGCGCCAACAGATCCAATCTCGCGGTGTCGCGTTCCCCTGATAATTTTTCCTCACGTTCCAGTGCCTCCTTTCGTTGTGTTGCCAAGCCAGGCGTCTCCCTCAACAGAATCTGCACAGCCAACATCCAAGAATAAAGTAATTAATCTTTAGCTCAGATATTTTACTTTCCGCGAACTTTCAACGGTCACTGAGAAGTTTTCCAATCACACTGTTGAGTACTATAATGAGTTGTCGGTTAAACGGACTTTTTCATTCTACCATGGAATCAGGGAGCGAAGTTGTCCGGAGGGAACAAAGGGAATAAGTTTAATGGAATTTTATGAACGGTGTAATAATAGCAGAAGTATTCTGTAGATGGAACAATTCTACAGATACTATATATTCGATATATGATTCAATAAAGTTGTTATACATTATGTTATCTATAACCTTGAATCAACCTTGAGGTGATCTAACAACCTTTAAGAGTCTTTGATGTAACCTAATGACTTTTAATATTGAACTTGAACGCTACGTCTCAAGATGAAATTTAATTTAAAGATTATTCCTGAAATAAAAATAAACCTACTCGATCTATCTTACCTTTTCCACGAATCTCTCTGCCAAACTTTTGCTACCAGCTCCAAGAGCGATTTTGAACAAAACTGCATCAACCTCTTTTGGAAAACCGTCTAATCTGTCTCGTCTAGTGGCTAGGAAAAGTTTGAAACCTTGAGGAGCCGGCAAAGTTCTCTCGCCAAGTTTCAGAGGACGTTGACGCAGCAACGGTAATAGAATCGAAGGAAATTCCACGAGTTCTTCCACCAATAACGGTTTACCAAATCGTACAGCTAGCTCCAACGTGGTCAAAAACTTGGTATCTTCCGGTTTCGTCACCTCCATTCTCGAACCAACATTACTCTTCAGCCAAGACACAGCCACACCAGATGGATCTATGAATATTGGCACCAGTGGCCCTCTGAGGGCACAGGACGCGCCAACCAGACTTCCGGTATCTACCGGTAAACCTTGAGCTCGCCATAATAGCCTCTCTCTCTCAGTGATAAGAAGATCGATGGCTGACTTTTTCCATTTGTCGTCTTTTCCTAGATCCTGTTTCGATTACAGAACTGATAAACTATGTCTCAAGTATTAACCATTATCAGTCATGCAGAAATAATAACGCGTACTTCATAAACTAATAAAGCTGCCACATTGGCAGCTTCGATGTCCAATTTTAGTTTTCTGCTAGTCAACTCTTCCAGTTGAGCCTGCCAGTCACGATGCTCCGTGTCCAGTTTTTGTAGTAATGCCCTAGCAGTCGTTAATCTCGCCTCAGTCGCTTCAGCACGTAGTTGAAGTGCAGCGGCACCCCTCGAGTGTTTCGCGAGTTCCTCTTGAAGTTGCGCTACACGACTTTCCACGGTGTTGAGACCAGCTACAAGCTTGCCAATCTGAGCTTCAGCCGCCGATAAACGTCTAAAATGTTATACTGAAGTGTTATATCGAAGTTTATCATTATATCATATTAGTGCTTTTGTGGCCATTTGACAGTTGAGATAAAAATACAAATTTTTTGTGACACAAATTGGAAACCAAAGAAGTTACGGATAACAATATTGTTATCAGAAATAGAATCCTTCTCGTTAAAAAGAAATAACTTACTCGGCCAATTGCCTTTGTTCTCTCTCGAGAGGCGCGACTTGCTGAAGAATCTGACCATATTGAAGGTTTGCGAGAACCCAGGCCGCCAAAGGAGCTGCGGCCACCGAGGCTCGTTTCGCGGTTTTCTCCTCGAAACTCTCCGGTCGCTCCTTGACCAACTTGGCAACTGCCTCCAGACTCGATGATGTGCTTCTTCTCGCATCCCACGTTCTAAATCGAACAAAGACTACCACGTTTTTCAAACTCGCGTGAATAGTTTCTGATGATATAGACGATGGGAGGGAAGTATCATCTGCGAATTGCCCGAACAATTTTGACTGCTGATTTACATAACCTGTTTTATGTAATGGATATAGACGAGACTAGTGTTCATATCTAGATATGAATATTCTGCTTAGAAAATAAAATAAAATCTTTAGCAAAATGTATGTTTAAATAGTTACTAATAATTAGATACTGTTACGAATGATATTAGGAATAGGGTTTGCATCGAAACTTAACCAAGGAATATATAGCACAGTTATGTTGTCTGAAATATTGCAACATTTGAAAAGTATTTATATTATTATTACAAAAAATTAAAAGAAAAATTAATAATTACAAAACTATTTACCTTATCTCATCTTTAATACCACGTTTCGCTAAGAAAGTTTTCATGCTGTTCCAAGACGTGTCTTTTATCCCCATTAACCGAAGGACGCCCTCGAGAACGTCTCTTACAGGCGCTGGAGGTGCTCTCAAAGAACGAACTTCCGCTAACGCGTCAGCGCTGATGCCGGCTACCGCTTGTGCTGCTTGTTCTACTAGTGGCTCGACTTTTCCTAATTCCCCTTCGATGTCAGTCTATATATCAAATTTAATTTATTTCTTTTACACGTGTTTCGAAACTACGTATACACTTTCATCAATAAGTCATCGAATACAATAAAGTAGAGATGAATAATTATAAAGCTAAATACATTTTTATTCTAGACTCAAAATATGAGGAACAAAATATAGAATTTAAGAAAAATAATGACTCATTAAAGACTGTGGATATGTATTCCTTGTACAAGTGATACTCAATGTGTATTTTATTTACCTTTCTACGTGCCAGTTCCGCACTTTCTCGTTCAGTTTCAGCTTTCAAGTTGCTCATTTCTCCCCTTTGTCCTGTGGCACCTCTCATCGTGGCTGTGATCTGTTCCAGGGCTGCGTTAGCACGCCCCTGTTCTACCTAAGAAATTACAAATCAGATTTAATTTCTTCACTTCGTTATTATTTGAACTATCGTGGTAGTTCTAGCGTTAATCAGTACCATTACATTCTTTATACCTTTAATCCTAGAAGTATTTAAATATTTTATATTAATTATGTATGTACAATTACATCTTCATTTTAATAAAAAGACCAATATTGGTTTTTCTAAGAGCAATCGAATACTTCTAGAAATTACAACAAAATTTCAAACTATTCTTGTCACACTTGTCTTATAGTTTCATGTCAACATTCCATCACAGGAAATTTAGTTTAGAAACTGTAAGATTAACAAATACCTCTAGCTCTTGACGCTGTTTGGAAACTTCGTCCTCTAATTTAGCCACTTGCTCCCCAGCTTCCTTCAACTTTCCAACCCCAGCTTCAAGACTGCTCAATTTTTGCTCCACCTCTTCGTTCCAAGTCACGTGTAAGTACTTCCAGGTGTGTATCAAGGCAAAGAATCGTGCCGGTGCCTGTTGCTGCCGTGGAGCTTGCAGATGAGCCTTCACCATCTCCTTGATGCCAGGCAACGTATTCTCAGGATTTTCGAATTCGAGGTCATTTTGTTGACAGGCTACTTCGGTTAAGGCACCTTCCCAGGACCACCATTCACTACCAAAACCTGGTCCAATCAATGCACAGTGTCTAAGAAGTCCCGAACGTGATGGCCAAGACGAACGCAACTCTCCACTGTCCAATATTATGGCCACTCGAAGGTAATTTCGTAGACCTGTGAAATTGTATGCTTGTATGGAAGTTTTCGAAATATTGATACCTTAAAATCTCTTAAAAACTAACGAATGATGTAATGAACAACTCGTTTCTTTGAGTGAAGTAGCCACCATTTGTAGATTGCTTCCTTGAGATTAAGTAGAATGAATAATTTTATGTTAACTGCTGCTTAACAATCAATCCAAATTCTGATTGTTATTGATATTACAATAATTTGCAATCCTAAAGTAGAAAAAAAAATAACAAAATAAAATAAAAATGGAATTAAATGGAATAGTAGTCGTCACATTGAGTTTATCTTTTTTTTCTATAAGAATTGAAATCATCATATTGAGGGTTTGATATGTTACGTACGATGATAAAGGTATTGCTCCAACATGCCCGAAAAATCTTCCCTTCTTGCCACATCAGCCAATGGCGCTATTAACCCGTCAAGTTCCTCCACTGTAAATAATCCTGGGAGTTCACCTCTTGACACTATTGCACTGGCTAAAACAGCCAATCCAGCTTCTCTCATATGATGCTCTTCTAGCAAAAGCAAAGTCGGCTCACCATCAATTCCTGCAGCTTGAACTGCGGTTTTCACCGACATTCGGCCGCGACCTAGAAGATCCATTTCCTCTACAGTTTCTAAGCAATTACACATGATATACATTTTCGCCTAAAATTCATAGCATATACCAGTATTGAACAAAGTTAGTAAGAATTTATTAAGATAAGTTTCTAATAAGTTATTGGAAAGACTGTATAATTTTAATAATTATATTAATATAATACGTCTAATTTTTAATATAATGTAATATCAATAAAATTACTACCATTTTTTCTACCCTGAAGCTTTATCAGGACAGTGATTTAATGAATAATTTAAACATCTCATATATATTGTATATACAAAATATTATATATTAGATTATTCATACCAGGTCCAGATTCTATTAAACGAAGGGAGGAAAACATGGCGGTGAGTCTCACTGCAGATTTCCTTCCGGCTCCGGGTCGTCCAATCAAGATCACACCCCGAAGATTCGTTCCAAAAGCCCAACTTAAACCTTTGAAAAACATAAAAATATATTACTATTCAACTTTCAAATGATATGAAGATAGCAATATCAGGGGTAAGAATACTTTTATGGCTTACTGTAAGATATAAGATAATAAAAAGAAATAGAATAAAAATAAATATTAATCAGAAAGATATTTACAATTATAGAGGACGATGTTGGCAATTTAATAGTAACCATAAAGTCACAATTGTACAGACTATGGATAAAAGACGTGGCTAACAACGATAACTCCCGCCGGCGTAATCTCATTAAACTTACAAAGTGGGCAGATACAGGGCAAATGATCGGTGGATTAAGCTCGTTTGGAAATAACGTAATATTAAGTTAATTTAATGTGCTTACCGGCCACCGTGTGCAACAGGTGAGACGAAATCGATGCCTGTACAGGATCGCCTTCCCTCGCGCATCTCGCCGCCGCGTTAATTATCTCCTTCCGCCACTGTTCCTCGTCCAACGGCAACAGCCCATTGTTCCCGCGTTTCCATATGTACACGTCGCTTCCGGGCATCATCGACTTCGTAGTCTTCGAAAGGATTATGGTTTCCCAACGGGACTGATCTCTGGACGTTAGTCTGGTAAGTCAGTCGAAAACAGGGATGTTGAGAAATTTCGGTGATGAATGAATTGAAATAAAAAGGAGGGATAATTCATTTCTTGCTTTGGAATTATTTTAGTTATATATATTAACATTAAAGCATTCAATTTATCAACATTGAATTTAACATTAAAATGTTCACATCCATAAATTTAAAAGTGTATGATGGAAATTTAAAAATTTAGTCACTCAAAATTTCTGACGTTACAGATCTAAGATAAAAAGTTCTTAAGTTTTGCTATAAAAAGTGAGAGATCATGAAATTTGGAAGTTCGTACTTTATTTTACATAACAAATTTTAAACTTTCAAACTTTGGCAACGAATACTTCCATGACGCAAATTTTAATCTTGAAGATTCATGGTAAAGCAAGTTGCATAAAATAAAAAATCTTTAACTTCAGAAGCTCCAAGTCGTATATTTTTCACCTTGAAATTTCAAAGATGGAGCACTTTCAGCTAAGAAGGTACCATTACCTAGTGTGAAACAGTCGCCTTCCAGCATCCAGTAAATGATCCGTGATATTCGATTCATTCTCCGGAGAGGGATAATACTTCAAGCTGTCTGCCCATAAAACCAAATCTTTGGGCGTCCAATCGACAGACGAGCCATGAGAAGATTTGATCGATCGAAAAGCATCCAACATGGCAGGCGCCATTTGTGATATCCATGATTCGATCATAACACGATCTCCTTTCAGGGAGTTTCGTAACTGCAATTCTAAGATTGCTACGATATCTTTCGAACTTGGATATCTAAAATACAAAAAATTCTTTTTAACGTTTAAGTACACTGAAATAAAATTAATTATCAAAACTGATAGTTAGCAATGCTTGTAGTAAATTAATTATAGTTTAGGAAAATAATTACGGCAAATAATGAGTGGACAAAAGTGCCTCTAATCTTGGATGTAATCTGGTCGTAGCATCAGCTGTACATATAATAGTTAAGGGAACTGTAGCGAATTCCAAGTCCTCTTCGTGAAATCCTCCTTCTTGAATAAGTTCTCGAACTAATTCCTACTTAAATTTAATCCTTATACTTCTTTTAATATTTCAGTATTTAATTAAGATTACCATTTAATAATAATACCTGTAGATCTTTAGATGCAAGATGGAGGTCTTCCAAGATTAATATAACTCTGGAACCAGTTCTAGGTTTATATACTCTTACATGTGAAGATGAATTTAATTGTACGCAACCACGCTTTAGTTTCATCACCAAATCCTGAGGTCCATAGAGAGATGAACCTTTTATCAAAGTCGATGGTTCGACGTTACGTATCAAAGAAAGTATGACGGATATTAGAGCACTTTTTCCACAACCTACTGAACCTCTTATCATTATCGATTGGTTATTTTTGATCCATGGTAAGACAGACGATAGCGTTTTCTTCATTGCACCTGAATTATAAAATAGTATAACCATGATAAGTAGAGTTATTATTAAGTAAACATTATGTTGCTTTTTAAGTTATTATTTAGATTGTATCGTACTTTAATCTAAAAAAAAAAATACTATATTGCTAACATTTAGAAAATTTATATAAATCTTATAATTTAATAACTATATTTATTTCAAATTAAACAGAACTTTGTCGAACCTGATAATGAAACAGGACCATCATCAGTGTCCGTTGATTCATCAGCATCCCCAATAGCTTCTAATCTATCTGTATCTTCATTATACAATACAGAACATGGTTTTTGCGGATTTGGACACCTGAAATTTCAAACATTAACGTAACAAATTTTTGTTTAAAGTCAATATTAATTCACAATTAACTGATTAAATATTTGATCACTTTTGTATCAGTTTTTCAATATTTGCATTAATAAGATATAAGGATCTACTCGACGGATTACTTATAATTTGAATGGTTCTTAAAAAAGAATTTTAATTTCTCTTTAATAATAAAATTTCAAATCCTCACCAGCAATCAGTAAGTTGATAAATCAAACGTGCTAATTCGTCTCTAGCATTTTCATTCCTTATTTGACTGCATAAAGATGTGAATATAGCGTACGAAGCAGAAGTGCAAGTGTGGGAACTTCTCAAATGACAAAATGTTGAATTCATTAAGCCCGATGCTGAAGAAACGTCTGCGTTGATCTTCAAACATTCCTCGATACAAGAACACAAATGGGAATTCGCGAGTTCCTTCGCTGCCTCCGGGAGTGAATTCAATCGTGACGACACCAGTAAAGAGTTAGGACTCGTGGAGCCCAAATGAACCACCCCTAAACGCGATACGGTTGCAGGACTAGCACCAGCGAGTTTGTGAGTCTCGAAGATGAATCTGTGAAATATGAACAGTGTTTGAAATCAATATTTTTCACAATAACAAAGCTATTACTTAAAAGTTATCATAATTGAAATATGAATTATTAAATTATTACAATATAAAATTAAAAATCGTGAAACAGTAATCATCAATAATTATAAAAGGAGATTACTTTGTTCCAGATCCAAGCTTCACACCTACACCGTTGGGTAAGGTTAGTAATCGATTATCGTCTAGAGCAGAGTTTAGAGCTTCTGCCCATTCCGGTTCTACGTCGCCATTCAAAATGATCCAAGTTTTCGAATTTTCAGCCGAAGCAACAGCATTGGATAATAAACCTTCCTTCCATTCTCTGAAAGAACATAACACTTTTTTTTAATCAAATTACAAAACAATAATGTAACTTAAATTATTTCTTAACAATAACATATAAATGCTATTTTATCCTAAAATATATTTCGTCTGCTTCGAAACGATACCTAGTTTGTGGATCAATGCGACCCAAAAGTCTCGATTTTGGCATGGCACCAGGGAACACGTGAAATTGAACGATCGTTTCGCCGATTTTCGTCAGCGCGTCGCACAGAAGTTTCCTGATGATCGTTTTACCGCACCCTGGTGGTCCAACGATCGCTACACCAGTTCTGCTTTTCAATTGATCGTTCAGTTGAATACATCTGTTCGCCATTTCCTTCCCCAACTCTTGATCAATGCAAAGCTCAAGTAAAGCGTTCTGCAGGTCTTGCCTTTCGATGAACGTAGACAACGATGGACTTATTCTTGGAAAAACGTCTTCCAGTAAAGAAAGAAACCGTGGGGTATCTTCTTCTGTTAATTTTGGTAATGTCGAAGCCCTAATCGCAGCTACTAATCTATAATATAAAATGTGAAAACATTATACTTGTGAGTTATTAAAAGATGCAGTAAGTTAGATTTGCTTGTTTTGTTTATAATATTTTATTCCTCTTGCTTGATTATTTTAATCAAATGTCTAAGTTATTCAGAAATCATAAAGAATGTTTATAAAGTCCATTAAATGGAACATACTACATAGTAATTACAAGAATTACACGAATAAAATAATAAACCTGCTAGTTTCATCCAAGTCAGTTTTCGTAGGAATGGCGTCGAGTACAGATCTAAGTGCCCTAAGACCCCAATCGTAATGTGGCTGATTCGAAAGCAATATCTCAGCGATATCGAACATCTCCACTAGCTGTTTCGCCAGTGTTGAGGCATTCAGGAATCCGGCACATTCTAGCAATGCTTTCACAATGTCAGATCTGTCCGGATGTGCCATACCAATCGGTCTGAACAGTCGTGCCAGAGAATCCGGAAGTTTACGTCTGCCTCCATATTCAGAGCCAGCAGGGTTCATCGTGATAAACACGCAACAGTGTGGATCCAGGTTCACTTTCTGATCACTTAGCAGGACTTGAGACGAACCATCCCGAACCGCCTCTTGAAGGGGTCTAATGAGCATAGCCACCGCACTGAGCGTCTCCTCCTCGAGACGATTGAACTCGTCAAAACAACCCCATGCACCAGCCTGAGCAAGACCGCCCAAAATACGTAGCATACTTCCGGCGTCCATTCCTAGTTTTGGAACGTAAGAATGGATCAATTTATAATATTTTAGTAAGTTTAAAAAGTTAATATAAAGACTAAAATAATTTTTAAACGTCATAAAGTAAACAGAGTTGCTGAAAATTTTACTTAATATATTATGAAGAAAAAATTCTAATATTAGTTGAAATTATAAAGGTAGTTTCATGTCTAACGTGTATTCTAAGATATACCAAATAATAAAAATTGATTTTGCATTCATAAACGTTGAAATATTATTACCTTCATCGCAATTGAAAACTAAAACGAGTCTGCCAAGAATAGCACCAAGTGCTTTCACGCTTTCCGTTTTTCCAGTTCCAGCTGGCCCGGTAGGGCTTCCACCCAAACCGAGTTTCATCGCCTGAGTAAGAGCCAAGAAACACCTTTCGGTTAATGGCGTTTGAACTAATCCTACCGCTGCGCCTTGGTATTCGAAACGATATGGAAATTCTGCGCCAGCACAGCGTACAACTGGTCCTTTGTTCTACAATTAACAGACATGTTACAGTTAAAACCTAAATTCCGTCGGAACCCAATCTTCATAGTAAATACTAATTCTAACAGATCTTTTCCGACGATAATAGTTCTGACAATTTAATTCCATAAATAATTGTATCCTGTGAGAAACTAATTATTACTAAAGAAATATTTAAATTAATATATTTACAATTTTGGTCAATCAAAAATAATATCAAGAATGAATTTTGATTGTGAAAATATTTCATTAATCCTGATTTAAATTATTCATAGAAAATATTATAGTATAAAAAAAATATATATATAAAAATATATTTAAAAAATTTATATAACTGGAAATTAACAGAAAGAAAAGAAAAATATTATGAATATAGATATTTCATAACTATTCAAAACAGCAATGAAGCTAAATGACATTACAGTCCTGTAACTCCTTAATTGTCTTTGCCAAGTCCAGACAGTACTTTCTTCTTGTTGCATAACGTTTAAAAGATTCCTGGCTATCTCCAGATGGTGGACGGTATCAAGCAGAAGCCCACGTGCTTTTAAAGCTGTTAATTTATCGCCAGCGTCTTCTAAACCCCTGTATCTAGCTCTTTGTGTCTCCAAATATTCGATGAGCTTCTTTAAAGCTGAACGACCTTCTTTCAAAGCTGTTTCGCATCGCTCAGTGAAACGAATCCTTTCTGATAGCAGTAGAACCTTAATGGGTACCAAAAATAATTATTTGTAGTATCTAATAGGCTTTCCGATTCTTTTTACCTTCTTTATTTTTTATATATTTTTTATTCACGTTTTATTGCTTATTAATTCAATATTGTATAAGATTAAAGTTTCCAATAAAAATCTTGAATCTAAATCTACTTTAGATTAACTATATCTCTTTGAACTTGAACATACTTAAATGATTAGTCGATATATATTTTTCGTGTACTTCATATAATAAAAAAATTGTTCATATTCTAACAATTCTTCAAAGATTTATAAAATAATAAGTAAAAAATTTATTTACGGTTATGTATAAATAAAAAAAGAAAAGACGTTATCTCTTTTACTTGAGTTGGATAAGCCGATGGATTGGGCGTAGCATCGATCAAGCATTCTTCTAAACTCTGTCGAAGGGTATTTTTCATTCCCTCTTCAAGGTTGTTCAGCCATCGCGGTAATGAGTCTCGAACATCGACCTGCTTGGATAACTGCAATATTTCACCTTCTGGCGATACAACAGCCGTTAGTCCATTATCGTCTTTTATTATCGATCCAACGCCTTGATACAGTTTCGATAAATGAGCTTCCAGGCCTCGTCCACTAGCTGACACTAATTCGAGAAGGTCTTCATCACTCAGAAAATACAGACGTGGATAAGAAGATCGTTTTTCCTTCGCATAAAATGTCGTTGAAATTAAAGTTCGGTGAATATATTCCATTTTGAAAAAACAGTAGAATGGTAGAAGTATATACCTCTAAATATTCGTCAAGGCTTTTCTGACATCTGTCAAGTAAATCTTTCAAATTCATGAAAGTTGAAAGGGAAAGTCTTCTTAACGACGACACTCTGGGATCACAAGATACTTCTCCCATTAGGTATCTAAATATTTGTTTAGTATATTATAAAAAATACCAGACTGGAAGTAACGAGTATATAAATATACATGGACAAATATATTAAAAAAGTTGTAGTTATAAATATTCCTTAAAAATTATGGTATAATTAAATTATTTAAAAATTAGTCACCTGAATTCTTTATTAGCTCTAGACCATCTACCAGTATCGTTTGGAGCTGCACCACCATCGTAAACTGGTTCCAAGTAAACCCACTTCCTCTGTATGGTACTCAAAGCTTTTATTCGTTCTTCCACTTCCGACAATCCAGTTTCACATCGTACAACTCTGACTGCAAACCTTTCGTATCCAGCTGCCCCTTTGGCGCCCTCCAGCAAGAGTCTCAATTCGCCTGTATATCAACGAATAAGTTTATGAATTTTCTTTCATAAAGACTGACAAAACGTGTGAAAATGAATAGAAAAGCTTAATTAATTAACAAGTAATTTACCTGCTCGTGCTAACAAACTACCGTACTCTTCTACAAGAATAATAACAGCATTTTTACTGTCTCTTAATTCTTGAAGTTGAAAATGAGCAGAAGCTTCCCAAGACTCCACTTCCATTAGTCCTTGTCGAATACCACTCTCGGCCGCAGCTTTTTTTGTTATTTCCTAAAAGAACATTATTGATTGCAATGTACACTTATGTTTTCTTTTTAATTATTGAATGTCTCCATTTTTAACATTTTCAAGTTAAATATTACCTTTATCTTTTCAACATTTTCTTGAATATTCTTCGCAGAACGAAATAGGTGACCCAACGTGATATCTCTCACATGTTTAACGCCCTTCACGTCTAAAAGTGGCAACAGCTCACCCCAATGTTCATCTGCAATCTCGTCACCACGAAGAAGTTGCAACCATTCAATAGTAGCTCTTACCTCACGCACTCTTTTACCAACAAACGTATCCACTTCTAAATTATCCTTCTGATCCACCGATTGCTCCTTTAATCGATCCTTTAATTGAACTCGTATTCTATTCTCCCAAGAATCGAGCCAATCGTGAAGTCTGGGTAGTCTTCTTCTAGCTACACTCCATTCTTCATCTTCCTGATTCTTCAATTCTTCTAAAAACTCAGTCTGGAATTGACAGTTAGATTCTTCGACTTCCAATTGCATATCTAGCCTCTTCATAGTCTCATCGTTATCCTCCAGTATATCGTCGACGTTCAATTCGATTTTTTGACAATTATTTTTCAAGACATCCAGCTGTTCCTTTAGATATATCCACCTCTCCTTCATCGAAATAATCCAGTCTAAGGTAAGGATCTCTGGCTTCGACGACCATTTTGCTTGCCATCTCTCGATCTCGTCCCTTAGAGCTACAGCTCTATGACGTATATTTACTTTTGCATCCTCTAGTTCACGATCCACTACAGCTTTGTGACGTTCCAAACGATCGGTTAAATCTTGCCATGCCGCATAAGCTGAGCTGACGCCTATTCGGGAAAATTTCAAATTAGTTACTTTATTCTAGATTAAGAAATTATTATATAAGAATACGTGATAAATTTATATATACACTAATTAATCTCTGTTCAATGTTAAAGAGATGATAAACATAAAAGGGAAAAAGATTAGTCACAATTCAATAACATTTCTAAAATGAACAATATAGAGACATAATATATTTTTCTTTTAATTAATATCCTATTTTCATTTTGGATCTAATAACAATTTAAAACTTTTTAATGGGATTTCTACAACAGTAAAGCCTTGTCTTGCATACGACAGCAACGAGTATTTTATCAAAGAATCCTTCCTTATCTTTTCCAATACCTCTTCCAGAGAACAAAATCACTTGCACCCATTTTATCTCCGTTTTCTTAGTACGTTGCCACGGCATAGCCGTATCCTGTCACAATACATATGCATGATCAATACAAATGCGATTCGACGTATAAAAGAGGATAAAGCCCTTCAAGAAACTTCCTCTATTCTTAAAATTATTTTGTATCTACAGAAGTACTGATACGTCAGATGAAAATGTATAGAACAGGTGATAAACGAAAACTCTTTGATGTTATATGTATATAGTACTACATTTTGTAATCTTTATTTGTAACATTATTTAAATTAAATTTTTAAGAAATAAATTAATAATAATATAAATAGTAATTTGCAAATTTTGTTTATATCTACTTTCACAAATTAATAACCAACAATACTTAAAAATTATAGAAAGTAGAAATATAAAACTCACCGTACCATATTTTACAACAATACTTTAACTACAAACCATGTAAATCGAATTATAGAATTCCATTACTTTACCATTATTACCACTCGATATCTTATATTATTTCTCCCATAATTTATTCTTTAAAACAGAAGTTGAACAATTGCACTGCCTACAAACTTTTTATCAATAATACACTTATGCAGACAGATAAAAAAATGGTCTGAACTGTAATAGATCAATAGTGTATATAATGTGATAAAAAAGGGATCCTGTATTACCGATCTGTTAACAAAATGTTTGAACTACCTTCAAGTTTTTCACTAGTCCATGCAGCCAACACTTTAGAAAGACCAGCAATAGCTTCCATTTCTTCAGCCATACCGGAAGATTGTGTCTGGATTCGAGCATGAGCTTCATACGCCAAACCAAATTCCTCCACATTACGAGGTCTGCGTCCGAGTTCTTTTGAGGCAGATGATAGAAATTCTACAACAGCAACTAGTCTTGAAGATGCTTCCAACCTTAGATCGGAGCACAAACGTTCCCAATAACGGCGAGATGCAGATTCCAAGTCATTCCTGGTTGCCGCTGTGTCCACGCTGATGCACCACATCTTTAATTCACTTCCGCGTAATCTACCAACCTAATTTAATTACTAAATTTTAATTAAATAATTTCATTGACAATAAAGGCATTGTAGATTTGTGATCAAATTATGTACTAACTTCTTGTGCCCACTGCTTGGCGTCTTTGAATGCTCTCGTCCATTCTTGGGGCGATTTTCCTTTCAATCTTTCCATTAGAGAAATGAGAAATATTGAATATTAATTTCGATATACAATATGTATCATGGATGAAATTTTATATTTATATATTTAAAATAAATTATTATTTTTAGAGAGACCTAGAAAATTGTTAGTCTCACACTTTTCCATTATTAAACTAAAATAATAAAAAATGAAATTGAAATATTTATTATTACTCGAAATTCGTCAACTGTTATAAATAAATATTAATTCATCTGCAAAAAGATTAAGAAACGCTGATTTAACAAACCTCAGCTTTCATTTTTTACAAGAACTGTGCATTAACGCGTCGTTAATTTAAAATAAGAATGTACCGTTCAGCGACGTCGATCTTTGCTGGCGCAGCCAAGTACAGCCATTTCGTTCGAAGCGTTTCCAGAGCGGAAAGAGCGATTTCGGCCTGCTTGTAAACGCCGCCGAACAAATAGCAGCTTCTCTGGATCAAGCCACCAAAGTGAGCCTCAGCCGCATCACCAACGCCCCTAAAGTTCATGGGGATCGAGAGGGATCGACGGATCGACGAGTACAACTTGGCACGGACTTCCTCAAGAGATGGCCGCCACTGCAGTGATCCGTCCCGAAACGTTAGTTCCACTTTAACTTCTGGCAACTTTTTCAGCAAAGATGGTAATGCTCCTCTAAAACAAATGATAAGCTTTTACTTCGTTATTACATTTCTTACAGATTAGCTATGAATATGAAACACACGAGAAAATGGAGAATGTAGTTTGTTAAAGCATACATTGTACTTGACTTTATTGCCTTAATTTTTATGTCATTTTAACATTATTTAAGTGATTATTGTAAATTGTGATGAAATTATCTAAGACGACAAAAATGTTTATGAACATTTAAAAGTTATTTTAAGGCCATACAAAATTATATTAAGAATATATTAAGTATTTCTAATAAGTACTTCTTTTTCGAAATAAATAAAGATTTTTCTTTTTAATTTCGAGTAAGGACACACTGATTATTATTCCTAAACAAATTCTATTTTCTGTTATTTAGCTAAATATAATTACCTGTAAGCTACACCCAATACTTTAAGTAGTTGTCTATCCCAATGCAATTTCCATGCTTTCGTGTTTCCATATTCAACTTCAACAGTATCGACAATTGTTCTCATATTCATCAATGCATCTTTCCAAGCATTTTGATTTCCAATCATATTCACACTTTCTCCTCTTAATAAATTGGTTACCAAATCTCTTAATGCATTATGCTTCGCAGCTAACTCTGAATTCTGTTGTGCAAACTTCCTTACCTATTTCAATGTCGATGAAAATTACAAAATAAAATATGTCTAATTATTGCCTAATTCTAAATTTCTTACAATACCCATCTGGTAAATTATTGTTTAATGAAGAAATAAAACAGATAAAAAGTAACAAAAACGAAATAATCTGTTTTAATTTTCCAACATCTTTCAATAAAATACATAATCAAAAAGTTAAAAAATTACCAGTTCCTTCAATCTGGCAGTATAAACATCGACAGCCTGAGGATCAGACCACACCACCCCAGATTGTTCCTGAACAGCTCTGGCCAATTCAAGCGCAGTCGTGAGCATCAATGGTCTTTGAGATGGCACCATACGATCGCCAATCGTGTTATGAAAGGTGGCGACCTGTTGAAGAGCTCTAGCACGTCCAGCTAAGGATCCTGCTCTTTCAACTAGGTCCCTCACTTCTCGAGGGAGTTCAACGCCTTGACTCGAAAGAGCCCTGGCTTCTCTGATCAAAGTCATTAGTCTTGGATCGTATGTAACCCTCATCATACTGGTGCCAGTTAGCTCTACCACTGCTGAATCGGTGCCTAATGTCAGTTCCTTCGCTGCAATAGCGTCTTTTGTTTCTTCAGTCTGATAGATAAATGACGTTTTATACGTAAGATATAGTTATTTTTATATAATTTAGTTGAGAAGATTATTTGATGATTTTTATTAACAGTAACGATAAAGAATTTGCTAAATTCTATAGCGTTATGTGAAAATTACTACTTTAATATATAGAGAATCTTTGATTATCACTGTGATAAATTTAATTCTTAAATTGAAAAATTACCCAAGTATCAACGAAATTTTGTCTTTTTGTTTCAATATCTTTCAAAGCTGATGTTACTTTTGAAGAAATTTCTTCATAACCAGGAAGATCTGCTAGCAATTCCTTTCCTAATTTATTTAAACTTTCCAGTTTTAATTCTGCTGATCTCGCAGTTTGGACCTCTTGAAGTATTCTTGGAGTATCTAGCAACTCTCCTGTATCTGGCCCAGCTAAGCAATTTTCTATAGTTGCATCGATTAGCGATGCAAAGATGAGAAAATGAAAAGTTTTCATGAACCAATTAGTAACAATACAAATTATTCTAAATATATCTTAATTTCGATTTATTTTTTCAGTTCAATTATATGCTGCAATTACCTATAAGATCTCCATAAGCTGAAAGCAAAGTCTCTCGTTCACTACGTAAAGCTTTCTTTAGACCATCTCTCTTCATTAACTCGAAATAACGTCGAAATTCAGCAAGTAAAGAATTTGGAGAAGTAGCATCAGCAATTTGTGACTTCAATTTTTGTGCGACTCGTTCTTCAGCGGGTACCAAGCCCTCTTCAACCCTTCTTGTAAGTCGGTTCCACTCAACACTCTTGTCATTATCGTTGAAGACCACTAATGTAATTAATTAAGTAATTGCTTAATTGAAACATGAATGAACAAACCAGTTCACGAAGAAAATAAAAGAATGATTAATATTGATATTTTTTGCACTAGTTAGAATAGTCTTTATTTTAAATTTAAATTTATTAAAACAACGATTATAGATTTTTAAAATCATATAATCGTAGCATATATAATACTACTTTGAAGTAACAAATTATTGACAATTTAGAGGTACCTCTAACATCATCGAAGAATCGCATTAAGGTATCGGTACCAAGACCAGATCTCTCATTAGGTGTCAGCAACCTGGTTAATTGTCTATACTGGGCACGTAACTCGCCAATCTGCCTAAAGATCATAAAAATATTGATGAATTTTGTTTCAAAGCAGAAAGAGCAAGAATCAGCACAGATACCTGAGTTTTTCTCCGATTCGTAAGCATCTCTCAGGTACGTAACCGACACCTTTCCATGAGTGAAGCGAATGGTGAGGCCAAAATAGCGTTGTGAATTTTTCCGCCATCTCTGTCCATTTCTCACAAATTTCTGCACCATTTAATATCGTTTCAATTTTTTCTCTGTCGTCGGTAGTTTGATTCTGTGTGAAGACGAATTTGATTTTAATGCTTAATTTTAATATTTAATACTAATGAAATTTTTTTCTAATTGAGGAATATTCAAAAATTTAATTTTTATTATTAATATTCTTCTAATTAATTTCAATTTTAATTCATTTCAGTTGTATACCTCCTCGATTATGTTTTTCACAAGAGAAACTACTTCGTCTCCGATAATATCCAAAAAAGATTTCATCCGGTCTTCGGTATATACCAGATCTCCTAACTTCCACAAATCATCAACATAGCCTGACATCGCTTCAACAGCGTCACCCACGCTGATTAACCCATCTCTATGTAAAATGAAATAAAAGATAGATACATCAATATAGTAACTTGAGTAATGTCAAAAAAGAATCAATATAAAGTTTCTTGCAATTAAAATAATGGCATAAATCTGATATAAAAGACTTTTTAAAACTTTTTGTAACTTTGGTTTACGATACCTAGCTACTGCCGCGCTCTCCACCTCACTTCTGATGTTCCTCAACGCTTTCACAGCCTCCGCATAAATCGTTTTGTCATGCGATCGTTTCGCGTCCTCCCATATCTTTCTCCAATAATCCTCCTCTTCGAGAACGGAAGTCGTAGCTGACGAGCCGAGGAGATTCTCCTCCAGCTCCTTCAAGTATGACGAATTCAGACCGGATGATCGAAGTGTCGGCGCCCATACCTGACGTAAAGCTTCGACTAACGTCAATCCTCTTCCACTGCCGGTTGTTGTTACGTGAACGAGGTCGTGAAAATTCTTTTCGGTCACCGACTCTTCTGTTAACTACATAAAATGTATATTTATCAGTTCTAAGCATTTTCATTATTTCAAATACATCTCTATGTGTATATAGACTACACTGTTCACAGACATTGCAATTCACTTTGAACTTTAGTTTTTCTTCAAAATAACTTACTTTATCTTTATATTCAATTTCTTAAATAAATCGTAATTATTCCGTATTTTATATAACCGTAGTTCTGTTTGTAAAAGCAAAAATTAATTTTTTCACCTTAAAGAAGACCAAGGTATTCCTGCCAACTGGTAACTCGTTACTTAATTTCAATCGTATTTCCTCATCCTCCAAACCCGCCGGTTCTGCACACAAGAGTCTACAAGTAGCTCTGTCCAAGAAGTTGTCAAGCACTGTTTGTTCATCAGCTATCGTTTCATCGTTCTCTAGGGGCACGCCGAAGAAATGACCAGCAGTGGATACTATCAATGATCTACGTTTGTCAACTACTACCATTTTTCCCTTTAGTAAACAGTGGTAATTTCATCTACTTTTGTTGCGAATACATATATTATCACGGTCGTGTTATGAAGTTTCCACGAAACACCGACGAAGTGACCGTCCTTGTCGCATGGTGATCGTTCGAGTTGTCATGACGACTCCTGATCAACACAAACCAGCTGTCAGTGGTGTTACGTGCTGGCAGGATCGTAGCTGTGAATTGTCATTGAGGGTACCATTTTTTGAAAGCGGATTGAGGTGAACTGGAAATCAGGAGTTGAAATTGATTTTTGTTCATGGTTTCACTGAAAAGATGTTTGGTAGTTTGATAAGATTATCGGTAATACGTTCTGTAGTTACTGTAAGATGGTACAAGAGGATTTTATGGTAGTCAAAAGAGAGTCGAATTTATTATTTTGACATTTAAAATTTTTATACAGCATTATCTTATAAGATTCGAAAAATCATAAAAATACAGTTTACATGGTAAGATTATAAATCTATAAGGATCCAAATTAATATAAATACAGTGAATTACAAATACAAATACAAATACAGTAAATTATGGAAACTGCAATGAGAAAGTGAGAAAAATGCTGTATTAAAATTTTAGATGTCGGAAAAAGAGCAAATCTTTTTGTTTATTTTTTACCACCCACTTTTATTACAAAATTTTAAATAATGAAAAATATGATGAAAGTAGAAGATCGAATATTACAGAACTGAAGAAAGAAAAATTAAAACTTGTAAAGAAATAAAAAATATAATGAAATTACTATATTTTTATATCTAAAACTAATCAATAGATTTATTTTTAGCATTCATAAATTTTCATACTAATAAAAAATATAATTTTCAACATAACTAAATAAATTTGGCTATTGCGTATGCATGAAACTATGCATCTATAATATTCGATTAATCATTGATTAGAACCAATTACAGAATAGTGCGAGTACATAATAGAGAAAAATGCGTCACTGAAAAAATATGTAAGAGAAGAAGGAAGATAGAGGCTGCTCGTGATTCGATTTCTGCCACAAGCTACTGTTTTATTTTATTTCATCTTTCTTAAATAATATTAATTTATACTTGCGATGTTGAATACCACAATGATGTAATTAAAAAATAAATCCTACAATAAATCATGGTTATCTGTACTAAACAATAAAATATTACAGATAAACACTAGTTTAATATTCTACTTTCATATTTTACAATGGTTGCCAAAAATCCCCAACTAATCTACAGAATTCTACTTCAATTTAAGCTACACATTAATCAAATTTCTTCTGCAATAAATTTACCAACATTGTACTCTATAACATAATTCACGTTACACACCGTGTTCGTGTCATTTGCTTTTGCATCCAAAAACCCGTTACGCCGACAATATAACGATGCTACAATGAGACCGGAAACTCCTGGCAGTCACGGTGGTATTAAAACCACTCCTTTTTTAAACATTTTCACATTTTTATTTACTCTTAAACTTCATACTTGTACAATCCTTGAGGAACACGTTATGTCCGTAAGCGTCTGAAGGAGAAGTGCCTGAAAAAGTATTTAATTAAGAAAAGCACCGTTGCGTTCGCGCGCTCGAGTCTAACGAAGGCACGAGGATTCACGCATGCACGAAGTTACCGGCATTGTTAATGTTATTACCGCCAAATATTTGCATAATCAGAGTATAGCTGGCATCCACGCCTCGAATAAGCAATCGGAGTACATTCCGACGAGCGTCGAGGCCGATTTATGCGCTCGCGTGCATACGTATGAACTGTCCATGCATACTTCCGGCCACGGTAAATAGCGTATACTATGGGAGGAGAAACTTCAGAGACCATACACCAGTTAGAAATATAATTAAAGATCGTTCAACGAAGAAATTGCCATGTAATGTTTGAAAATGTCTGAGAGAGTTGTGACATTATCCTGGAAAGGAAAATTTATTTTGTATTAATTAACGACTCGGCGATGATTATCGTTGGATACTTATCTCGACACCTTTGTTTCGTACAATTTCCTTTCACAAAAGGTTTATATTTGGAAACGTTTCTCACAGTATGGAAAGAGAGATACTGGTTTAGTAGAACTTCTTTTATAAAGGTCGAACTAATTCTTCTTTTACTGAAATAGGTTTTAAAATTAATTTTTGTATAAAAATTTAACGACAATTCAAGATTAAGGTATTAAAATATTGAAATTGAGAGGATGAATTTATTTAATTCTATAAATTTTTATATGCAGTTATTAATTACTTATTTATAATTTGTATACATTATTATTAAGTAATAGTATGGAGTAGCTATTTATTTTTTACTTTATATTTATTTCATACATTCTGTAGTAACTTTATATTGGTATGAAATATTAACAAATAAGTGAAATGAATCCTGTCATGTTTTTGCCAAGTGTATGTAAATTAATTTTAAGCATTATTGTAGCCATTCCTCTGACGTGTTCAATAACTTGTAATTCGACATTGATACCGGTAATTATACACTGTATATAAATATCCCTATTTTCACGATCCCCATAAATTTGAAATTCTATACGCGACATGATTAATTTATCCCGATCATGTAACACGATTTTCCAAATTCTCATAGGGAATATTATTTTTATACATGTTCTTATCCTTACCTTATGATAAAATTTAAAGTACCGTTAAATATATATATGTATAAGAGTATACTAACAAATCGTAACAATCATGAAACAAGATGTCGTATGTTACTTTATTCTGCATACACTATACAAAATAAAAACAAAAATAATCAGAAATTATAAACTAAGTACAAAGTTTGCATCTTTGGCATACCTGAAAATTTTATTTCGAACCAGCATTTCTCGATAAATATACGACGAGCTAAAATTACATTCTTTCCGCTATTCCAGCTGGCGCAGCAATTTCTTCCGCGACGACCTAAAACTGAACGTACACAAAGCGCCCAAAAAGAAGTCTCATCCGATGGGAAATCAGTTGTCGTTGCACGAGGAAGTTGTACTTCCGTATATAGCCGTTGAATGTCGGGAGACCATCCTTTTATCTCGTCCGTTCTCAGCTGAATTTACCAGACCACCAAAAAAGGACCTTCGTTACGTGGTCGGAAAGAAGAAAAAACACAAACTCCTGCCCCAACGTATACGGGCGACCACGTGGTCATGTAACAGACAGCCACTTGCACTAAAGCGCCGCCACAAAGCAGATCGCGGTATTAATGCATAATATAAATCAACCACTTTCGTGAGATAACCTTACGATACATGAAGCTATTGTTTCAGGAAAGTTTTGCGAAAGAATTCTGTAGAATTACAGAGATGAAAGTTATCATTAATATATCTGATAATTACTTAATACATTTAATACTTAACTATTTGATAACATTGTTATCGACTATAACATGATCTTTATGTGACAGGAACGTGACAAATTATCACAAGTGCATAAGAATAATGCGTACGCTACAGTAAAAGTATGAGAAGAATGAAGTCAGTGCAAATTTGTTATTTATTTTTAATATACACTTATTACTCAAATTTTCAACTTTTTTATTACCTTATTATTATAATTTACTATTATGTCAGTGTACTGATTCTAACCTATCCATAAGAATTATTAGTTTCTACCTTTTAGACAAGAATAAGGAACCGTATTCAATCATAACTTTATCAAAAAATCAAAATTTTGGTTATAAAGTGTCTAAAGCTAGTGTTACAATTCTAACAAATTTGCAACATAACCCCAATAACCGACAAACCAGTACATTCCAAGCAAGGTCCGAATGATGAACATGTCGATGGGCCACTTTAAAATGTCAAACACAAACGCTGTTGCACACTCTAAGACGTAAAAGAAAATTGAAAGAAAAACGCGTCAGGAAAAGCAGATACATACCGATGGCACGCAATATTGGACCATGACGATGAGAACAATGGGTCTGCCTCTGCGAGCTGCGAGCGCAGTGCCCGTTTCATGCATACGAAGAGATCGCGGCGATTAGACGCACCAAGGCCGCGTTTACTCGACGATTTTCCTCCTCGTTCGTAAGGAGTATCGGCAACGCAGCGATAGATCGTTGCGACCGTGCTAGAGCGCGTGCCTCAGTCGAAGCACGGACGTCGTTCCGTGCTCTTCTTTTCTTGTCTTTTTATTCGAATTTGATCCCGTTGTTTAGAAAATTGGTCTACATTAGTGTCCTTTCTCTTCGGAAGTCCGATCCAGTGAGTTCGTGGCTATCGAGGTGAGTCCCCTAATGGTATTCTCAAATTATATTTATTTTCTGGAACGTATTTCAACGTTGTTAATTGGTCAATTCGAGTTATTGAGAACATGAAGTTGTTAATACGAGATAAATTTCAGAAGGACTCTACTTACGCTTCTGATTAATTTCATAATTTCGAACTGAGACACTGCTTTATTGCTGTATTCCTAAAGCGACACTGCGATGCAAGTACACAAAAAGAAATGTAGAGAAACGAAATGTAAATAATTATAGAGAAGCTTTTATCTAGTCATTCTTTGTCTTCTTCTCTCTTCAAGAATATTTCTAATCAAATTCATAATCAAATTAACATCAACTATTAACAGAAAATTTTGCAACCAATATATTTTTGTCATTTATCAAATTAAAATAAATTACGGAATTCAAACCTCATATGAAATATCCAAATACGATGTAGAATCCAATAAAAACTCTTTTTCAAGCTTCTCTTTTCCAAATAAGTAGAAAAGAAAAATTTCACCCTCGACCATGATTTCAAAAGACATCAATCATTCTTCTCGCCAACACCATGCAAGACTTCCTAAAGAGTTACGTACATCAAATTGAATTACGGGTCATTCGAATAGCCTTTTTCTTGCAACTGTGCTACAAGACATCTCCATCCTCGTACAGTTATTTGATTATCGTTTATGTAACCAGCAATTCGCAATAGTTTCATCGTCTGGGGATCCCGAACGTGCCCCGTATCCGATACAGTTATATATACGTAAACGTGCGATTCGCGTGATATGGTGTATCTCACCCGTGCCGCGAAAGTAGAGCGTATCTAAAAGTATGCCATATCTAGAAGTCTGCGTCACGTATAGCGGGCGTAATTGTATTGCGATAAACATAACCTCGCATAATTGCCAGGATGAGGATTGGGTATTCAGCAACTTACTAATCGTTCCACAATTTCTACCAATTTTACCAGCAAATAATAATGTAAATCCGATTTTAGATTCTTCAGTTTGTTCAAAATACCTTGATCTTTATCGTTTTTATGATTTTATTATTATTTCATAATTATCGTGGCTTGTATCTCTTTTTTTTTTAATTTTAAGGTAACGTCTGTCTGGTGTTTATTACACCTATAAATCTTTATCATGTTTTCAAACATTTTTAATTATGATTGATTTTCAATTTTCAATTTATAAAGTAAATACTGTATTTCCTGTGTTTTGAATTGTTGGAACTATTGATTCCAATTAGATTGCTACCGTTTCTTTGCAATTTTACTTAGTTTCACTTATAAAATTTCTAGAAAATTTGAAATTTCATAATATCCATCGCTTTCGTGATTTCATTATTTCCTCAATCTTTTGCGATCGTTTAAATTTTGCTCGAAACATGTATAGTGTATTCTCGACGTTGAAGGACATCACTGTATATATTCTAAGAACCTTCAAATAAAATTCTAAAAAGTACACGTCATATTGATAATGCAGTGGAACGATTTTAGTTACATTTTTGTTTTGCTTACCAATTTACGAATCACTTCACAGATATTTGTTAACATATATGTAAATAATTTTGCTCTAAAATGCCCGACTAATTTAATATTTCGCAATTTTAATCACGTTCGTCATTTTCCATGTTTATTTTATAGTTATCACCTCTTTATATTTCTGTGCAACTTTTTATCTCTAAATGTTCCTAGTGTCTCGATAAATTTTATAATATTTCCCTAGCTATCATATTTATGACTTACGGACTTGTATGACTTTCCACTTGTATCTTTTCCTTTTACATATAAATAAATATTAGTCTTGATAATCGTTTCGCAATTTTCCTCAATCGTATAGTTAACAGTTTCTCCACAAAAGCTTCTATTATATTTTTTTCATTTTTGCAATTGGTGCTATAAATTACAACTTGATTAATTCATTTTTACGATTCATTCGATTTTTAGTATCCAAAAAATATTATGCAATGGTCATATTCGCAATTGTCTATATTCCTGATATTTTTTCTCAAAGAAGAAAATCAAGAAAATAATTTTACGACTTGTCTTCGCGTGTCTTTATTAAGATACCATTAACGACGATGCTAGGGAAACTTTTTGTATTTCTCGCAAAATCGAGTTATTGATACATGTATACACTATCGCTTGAACATCGCGAGAGAAGTGAAACTAAATAATATTTTCATCACGTGTTGACATATTGTTTATGTTACATTGTTAAAAATATCTCTTTGAAGATTTTAGATAATAGTTTTCTTTATGTACATACATCTGTGTTATCAATAGAATTATCAATGTCTATCTCTTAAGCTTATCAAGTTGCACTTGCAAGGGTTATTAAACTTCTCATTCATAACAAGTTATGCTATTCTAAATAGAATACATAATAAAACGTTACATCATTGTTTTCCTCTTTTTCATAACAATAAACCATTATCGAGTTTAACTATAGTAAGTATATGTATACTTACAGTCCTCGAAGTTGTCCTGACCCAATCTTACTCTTAACCTAAAATTAGAATATGGAAGAAGGGAAGTAATATAATATAAAAAGTTCCAGTATTATATTTTATCTCTTATATAAATATGTATATATTTTTTCTAGGTTAGAATATTTTTAGAACAGAAGTAAAGTCATTAAAATCTACTTTTTTTGTGAAAATTTACGTAACTATTATCGATCAGCAAACGCACAATTCGTGGTTAACGATTCTAATATTTATATGGAACGTGAGAAAACAAGGGAATTGTGTTTTGCTCTCTAGCAAACCGCTGCCAGTCATCCGAAACCTTACAGCCCGCGGTTGGGCGTTCATTCGATTCGAGGAAACGGCTGTTAAAATCCACAGCCGTTAACGCTTTGATCAGCTACTGTCCAACACAATCACAACATTATATAGTGGCATAAAAACAAAGAATAAAATAAGGATGTTGTAAATGCCTTGATAAAACAATTGATGCCACTTATTAAGATATAAAAACGGCAATTACCTTTGCATATAATGGAAATTGCACATGTTATAATATATTATAACACATCACTGATCAAATGACCGATTACATTTCAGGAAACGTGATAAATGTTATTCCTACAAGTTTCTTAGGTATTTATCTTGAATTGTTATTGTTTAATGATATACAGTACTGTATAAAAATCTTAGACTTTTTTATTAATTAATAAATATAAGGAAATTTATTTTGTCAAGAATTAGTAATTATTTCAAAAAATATTTGAACCAACTCAATTTTAAGATAATGAATATTAATATAATGTTTTTTTTTTCGACAGATTTATGCTAAATTTATATGACACTTACACTGGCTTTCTGACATTTTAATCATCTCTTTTACCAGCTTAATGTTGAGTGGTATTACAAATCATCTTTGAAGATATAAATACATCCTTTTTGACTTGGTTGATGTTGATATTTTATACGAAACATGACAAGAATAATCTATTACTCGACTTCTATAAAGCTCGATTCGTTTAGGTTAGGATACCTCAAAGACTATTCAGCAGCTGTAATATAACAGAGTCGTAGCAATAACCGACTCTTCGATCTTGACACAAGTTTACTTAATCAGTGGCTTCATTTATCGAGTTTATACTTGCGCACTATCGTAAAAGACACGACTTTCCGCATGTTCGACAAAGTGGATGCTGAAAGAAACGTGGAATCATGTCGCGCAATTAGCAGTGAATCACACGTCGCGCATCTAAACGATCGTAGGAGCAGTTGCGTCAAATAACCAGCTGAGGTCGCACGGAATTCATTGTTTTTCTTGCAAATCGGACAATGGACGCTTGCTACAGCACAACTTTTTGAAAACAGTAGATCAAATTTATTTATTTTCAAAATTTATTTATTTTGACATTTCAAATACTTTCGACAGACTAATCGAAAACTTCAATAGTACCTCTAAGTTCTTTGGTCGAAAATAGTTCACGTGTCGTGATCTTGTTTTTACTAAATACACACGTGAACCTTTTAATTAACTCTAAATGAGAGATGACATCACTCAAAAACTTATAGTACTCTAAATGACAAATATACATTCTCACTTACTTAAGCTTCAACAAAAATGATTAAAGATAGAAATGATTAAAATATATGAGAAATATTAAGAAATTTTTCAAAAACTTTGCATACTGAGTAACGCGTAAAGAACACTGAACTATTTCATTTAAATCTCGTTGAACTCGTTATTTATAAAATATATTTATGTTGATAAAAAAATTAACATTAATTTTCTACATAATCAAGTCTTCTGTTTGCTGAACTGTTTAGCAATTCTACACAGTGAATTTAAACTGACCTTTCAAGTTTAATTTGGGTATACTCACATATAAAAAAAGTACACTATCATAATCAGCATGGGAAGATCTTTCAAAAGGGTATACATGGATACATTTAATTTTTCAAATCAATAACTTCAAAATATTTGTAAACAACTTGACCAAATCTTCCTAAACATTGTTCCTCTAACATTTTTCTTATTAATTAAATTTCCATTATTGTCTACTATTTAATAATCCCTTCTGCAGGCGCAAGGATAATTCCGACCACAAAATGATTGACCAACCAGCAGGTAAAGGACCGCCGAGTGCCATTATGCTGGTGTTCTCTGTCCTTACACATGTTCTCTTATTGGCACCAGTAATATACATCCTGGTTTTGGCCTTTAACTCATACAGCTTCTTCTCCTGGCATCCTATTTGCATGAGCGTTGGAGTAAGTAGTCAAGTTGCCCAATCATAATTACATAATGAAACCACTAGAAAAAGCACATGGATTAGAAATCTAGGTGCTTGACACCTCCATGTAACGCGTTACATTGACAATTTCATTACACAAAAGTTAATGGGTGGAGCAATCTGTTTGTTCTTACTCGACGAGAAGAATTGGTAGAAACTCTCTCATTTAGAGTAAACGAACATCCTCCAGCAACGACGACGTTTCGTAATACCTGGATGCAATAAATCCTCCTTTTACACGCTGCAAAGTTACGTAAATTGGTGTTTTCCAATTTGGAATTAAAGCTTGGTAAGGAGAAGCTTCACGATTCAAACCGTATAATGCCTTAAGTTGAAATTAATCCTCTTGACATAAGTTTCCCTAGCGAACCTTGCTGATGAAATAAACGTTTATAGAAAGTTTTGAATATGAAATATCATCTATTGGAAATAGTCAGAACACGGAAGACCGTTTACGTGGATAACCGCAACTTTTCGTTTTGCTCCACCAAAGGTGAGACACGTTTCATACCTGCCGGATAATGAAGTATTTAACATAATGATTGACTGATTGTATATTTAGAAAATTTTTGTGATTAATTATAATTTCGAGGAAAGCTGAAATCACATTTTTCATATTTTATATGCGATTGGTATTAGACACCTTTCTGCGAATTCGTATATTAAATCTTGGACGTGATTCATCAGACTATTAAAGTGTCTCGTATAGTCGATTAATTTTCTTATAGTCATCGTCTTCGACTTTGAAAATATCCTTGTGCTATGACATAATACAAAACGATTCGACATACGTATACAATATAATATCAAATACGTACGGAAGTGGTAAGTGTAGATTCTTATATTCCTTAAAATAGAAATTGAATATATAGAAATGTAATTGTTTTAGAATACCTATTGATACTATTTATATACTTTTCTTAAGATAAAGAAGGAATATGACCGTGTTTGTAGAATTTTCAAGAACTCGGTATGTAAAAGACATAAAATCCTAGACATGATTCAGAGACCTTCGTTCAAGTGTCGAGACACTTAGATCATCTTCGTACTTGAAAGAATGCAGAGTTCTACTTATTCAGAAGTACACCGGATAGTATTCTCACATGAACCAAATATAATATTTAGTATACAATTCGTTAAAGAAGAAAAGAAGAAAAGGTAATCGAGAACGAAATTTATTGAATATCAACAATGAAGGCAGAGTCCCTTCAGCAGAACGAAATTAATACCTATCTTCGCAATATCGAGTCAATTCATTACCTCCTTAAAACATCGTAGGCGTGCACGCTTGCACATCCACCGAATTAAACGGTGAAGGGATCCACCGTTGACCTAGATCGACAAATTGGTTACAACATTCCCCCAATAAACTGAAATGATCATCGTCGTCGATTGCTCCACCCATCAAACTCGTCGAACATCAATTTTCCAAACAAATCAATCGAATAACAACTTTTTCGTCGATACAGGTTGGTCTTTTAATAACCGAGGCCATATTCAGCGTTTCTGGCGAAGCATACCTAGGCTGGAAGGTATCAAGATTCAATAGAGTGACGATTCACTGGATTCTGCACATGGTGGGCCTAGCTCTGGTACTAGTAGGCTTGATCATCATCGTGGTTAACAAGATCAACAACAATAAAGAGCATTTCGCCACACCACACGCGATCCTTGGCCTGGTCAGCATTATCTTAGCATTCCTGACAGCTGCGTTCGGCATCGTCACCAAAAACTCCAGATGGCTTTACCCGCGTTTTAGGCCCGTTCTCTTAAAAATTGTGCATGCCTTCGGTGGTATCCTGGTCACGATACTTTTACTGGCGACCCTGATCACGGGGACATATACGAGATGGTGGCCTGGTGGCGACACTGGAAGAAGCCTGACATTCACAGCCTTTTTCATTGCCGGTTTCTTTATATTACTGAAGCCGGTCTTGGGCGCTGTTTCGAGGAGCAAAGTGGTTTTCGGTCCACCACCTGCTACCACGTAATTTGAAGTAAACTGGAATTAAGTATGCTCTGACTGTGTTTCAGAGGAAGCGTGTTCTGTTATTTGATGTTGTTCATATTGGTGGATTGGATACCGAATTTTTTCATTGTAACGATATTGATAGATTGATAGATTGAATGTCACAGTGCAGTACAATGGCATAATAGCATCGTATGCTGTATTATATAGAATAACATATCTAATAGAATAGTGTACTATAAAATATGAAACTGCATAGAGTAATTCAGTGATAATGTTATATACAGTACTCTACAATGTAGTACAATATTACAGTAGTATCTTGCTATATTATATAATACAGCATAATGCTGTAGTGACATTTAAAATAAAAGGAAACTCGATGCTCTTATTTTAAAGTATGAGTAAGCATAGAATTATAATTTTCACCAATATTGTTAAAGATTTATATATACAGTAGCAAATGTAAAGTTGTACTCGTCGATAAACAAAGATGATCTTATCTCTTCGAATACGATGTGCAACGATGTCTGAGGTATCTAAATGAACTATCATAATTATATTTAATGTTTATTTAAAATTTGTTCAATGAATACAATGTTCATTATGATGCCCTAGATTCGATCAATGACAACAGAAGAAATTAAGAACAAATCATTTTTATCAAAGTTAATTTATATTTCTGTTGATGAGACATCTTTATCGTGTCATGTAAGAAGATAAGATCTAATCAAGTTTTATTACCGATACTTCTGTTCCTCGAGCACGTAGTCGTGTCTTCCATGCACGAGAGAGATGCAAATTGTGATTACTTTTACTATTCAATTTACAATGAATGACACAAAATTTTTACTTTCTACATAGAATTCAGACATTCCGTCCTCCAATGATTGTACGATTATCAACCGATCATTGACGAACATCTTTGATACTCCAATTTCGAGTCCACTGTAAGATACTTAAACGACTCGATTATCTTCTGCCGTATGAAAATGAAGTTCACGTTCTTTTCGAATATCCACCTATAAAATATCTTTTAATTTAATATTGAGACTTAAGTACAAAGGAGTCTAATTTAAATTACCCGTGACAATCTGAATAATATAACGATAGTTGATAAGAATTACTTTGATGTTATTCGTAATGAGAATATGTAACAAAATCGATTGTACCATCGCTGTGTTCATCGAATCGTTAACACATTTGCGAATATCCAATGTTGACGTAAATGCACCAAAAATGCTTTTAAACTCACCAATAAGAGAGACATATATATATTTTAAATACTTAGATAAGTAGTATTTATAAGAAATGTTTACCAAAAAAAAAAAAAAAAAAAAAAAAAAGAATGGAAAAAAAGAAAGGAAAAGAAAATACTAAACTTTAATGTTAACTTAAATGCGCTTAAACGTTTAACATAAGGCGAATCGTTAAATGAATGAATAGAGGAGATAATACACGCGGCGGCGTTATCGTCAACCATATATATCAACACTTTATTAATTACACACGCATCATATACATATACATAGAATTTACATAATGTATATATCTTTCGCAATGCAATGTACATGTATATTAATACAATTTCTTATTCTCGATATAATTCCATTGTGTCTTATGTATTGTGATCTTTTTTGGTTTTTTAATTTTTTTCTTTTTCCCCGCAATTTTTCCTACCCCTTGGACATTATCTTAATTCCTCATAAACATCAACGTACGATAAACATCTCGAATTGAACCGATCGCGCCTTAAACACCTCTTCGTCCTCTGTATCTGAGGCATCGTTAATATTATGCAACAACATATAACACAGTGTATACATATATATGTATATTATTTGTTTTTCATGTACACATATACGTATACGTATCTATGTTTGCATACGTGCGTACGCATTTATTTAACATAGATATGAGACTTCAAATTTTTCTTTTTTCTCATATTTTTGTGTTCTCTCTGTAATCTGGTCGTCTTAAAGTTATATGCGTTCCTTGCCGTATTTTTTAATTAACTACTACGTTCCTCACCTGTCTCTCGTTTTAATTGGAAATAAAATTGGAATATAAGTTGGTCTTAATAATAGGAAAGGTCAATATACCTTGTTATGAAAAGAATACATGAGAGGAAGATTTATGCTAATTGGAAATTTCAGCAAAATTTCTTTCGTTTCTTATAGGAAAATTTATTTATTTATAACTTATTTTGAACTTGAAATATCTAGGTTCTTCTGGATCTCAAATTTTTTTCGATTTCGAATTTCCTATTTTAAAGTTATATACGTACTTAATACCACAAAACGTTGATAACATGCGAAATTAATCTTTTTCATGTTCACTATTACAAATAAGTAACATATAAACAAAAATAGCTCGACACTTTATCGCAGCATTAGCGATTAATCGTAAACTATCCAGCTAACATCATTTAAAACTTTATCTTTCATCAGAGCTCCTGTTAAAAGCACAACGATATTATACTATGATAATCTAAATTACAGGAATTAAATAGTGGTCGAAATTAGTGAAAATAAATTTATATGATATGGTTATAAACTAATTTTCTATGATTACTGATACTTTTTATTAATGTATATATTAATCGACAAAGTACCAAGAGACATGGCAGCATATCGAAATTACGAACGTTTTCATCATCGAATAATTTTCTCTTTCGTTAACGTCCAACGATTTTCCATAAAACCATGCAACGTACAAAAATCTGTCTTATTAATGCGAACAAATATTAAACCCTATCGTTTCCACGAAATAATAGCGCGTTTGCTATCACCTACTCTAACCTTGCTCTCGAACGCTTTTCTCTTTCTCGATTAGCTCTAGGACATGTTACTTTGTACTGTTCGCTCTACTGGTTGCTCTTGGTGACGTAAAATTCGTAACATTATTCGGTAATCGTAAATCTATTCGATACATCGAAATTCCTGAAAAAATAATTCATTGAAAATTAAAACGAGAAATTACCTACGTACTTTAAGAATATTTTATTTTAATTGTCTTAAAATGTAAGATTACATTTCAACGAATAGAAATCGATGAAATCGACAAATCATGGTACCAAATGTCATTTTAATGGAAGTCATACATAGAGAATATATTAATTAAATTGCAATTATTTCCACATTATAATATATTACAAGTAATATATTCAGAGCCAAGGAAGATTTTCTAAAGTTTCTTAATTACTTAATTCTATATTTCCTGTTCAATTAACAGGTTATAATAGTTAAAATAAGAGTCGAAATTATCAAAGTAAGAATCGACACAGATAATAAAAGAACTTGAAATGGGCATTCGAAGTAAATAACAAAGTTATATTTTATTTTTATCGTAGTTTCAAAGAAAATTTACGAAAAATGTTTACGAATGATATATAGCAGTTCGAATGACAAATCTTAACTTAGAAGATTTAAGAACTTCTGTAGAACTTCTATTAAGATAGAAATCTATATTGTTTTCAAGCAAAATTATATTTAAATCCCTATATTTTCATTTTTACTACTTAAAACTTCTATATTTCATCTATCATCAACGACGTTACCTCATTGTTACTGATAATTTACGTCACCATACCTTAACCCTACCTAGGACAGTCGACCATGTGGCCCGACCGGTTTAAACCGGCAGCTAATGCTATTATTAATTATTATTATTATTATTATTATTCTTTAATTATTATTATTATTATTTTTGATGTTGGAACGTAATTTCTCATAATAATAAACATCGTTATTGTTGTTGTTAATGACGCGCTAAACTCTTGTTTAAATTCCTTTTTAAACCTGCATTAGATTCGCCTATCTAACCTAAAAACATTAAAGTTCCGACAAATATTTACCTATCAGTCACCTGTCCCTCGCGAATCCCAAGTACTTTATCCCATTTATTTTTCCCCCGTCTACTTTGTGTTCTTCTTCAATCACATCTTCTCGCCAATAAGATTTACATCCATCGATCGAACGATCGTTCATCAGGGTTCTCTTAACGAAGAATTTTTTGTTCTTGATTATGTCACGGATATGGCTAGTTGGTATGTGTTTCTCGCGCATTCTATCGATACAGATTCGTTTCCTTGTGTCTAATCTGTATATCAGTACATATGTGGTTAGTCTAATGTCTCTTTTCGTTAAACGAGGAGCAACTTTTTGTTAAACGGGTAATACGTTAATCGTGTAATGTATTAAACGGAACAAAAAAAAAAAATTGTACGAACGACGGACATTTAGAATCTATGATACTTAATGAATAATTGTATACTTGGTATTTCGATCACGGTATTTTGTACATACTTATATAATTGTGAATGGAGAATCGATAAGATCACGAATGTTCGGTTAACCGAAAGATAAATTGGAATATAAAGTGCTCGGTTTCGGTGTTAAAGTATGAGTCGATTCGATAAACTTTCATTGTCTTCAATACGGGGCCCCATAATTGGCCCCGATTGGATACGAATTCCGATCTTGGGATTCGAATATCGTTCTATTTAATGTTACTTTTTTTTCTCTTTGTTCACTGTTTGCCTATTTTTTTCTCTGAAGCTCTGAGTATTAACAACGTCTAAATTCTAAAATGTTAATTAGGTCACCGAGGATCCATCTCGTATGCGAATAATGTAGATCCTCCTCCACTTATTCGTCCCTTTGAGCAAAGGATCGATGGCAAAGGACGATTATTAACCTCTAACGTCCACTTCAATAGTTCGTAAATCATACATACTTTCGAAAATCACTGAAATTTCAAATCATGCACTTACAAAAATCCCTCGAACTTATTCTACGAATTTTTACTTAGAATTATCGATGTGAACCGATTGTATGCCAGAAGCTATCAAAAAAATACCGAAACGTGCCGAATGACGCGACCATGCTTGATACAGTTTACGTAGAAAACTGTCAAACGACGTGTTGCGCTTTGTTTACAGTGGAGTAAGACCGAGATGGCGCTGCAGTAACATTCGAACGCGCTAAATACGAACAGAACGATCGCGCTGCATGACACTCGATCAATTGCAATTGGTCGATAATAAAAGATTTTTGAGGGAAATAGTTTGACCAGAACTTCTATTATTTCCTTTGACATTAAATCTATCGTAAACACGAATGAAAGAATTACAAAACAGATGTTCTAATATTAGCACGATTCGA